TAAGAAAGTGGAGAAAAAGCAACTTCTCTATAAAAACAGGATTTGGAAATTGTGGTATTAGTTCTGTTTGTGCCATAGTTTGAACAAAATTGGTCCATTCCAAAAATCAGGTATCGCTAATATGATAGTATTTTAAGAGATGATTGGGCAACTGAGACTCCTCCCTTGTGAGTGGGATTATGTGCTTTCATAAGGGGCTTGACTGAGGAAGTTGTTTCTCTCTTGCCTGTCCACCTTTTTTTTTTTTAACATTTTTATTAGTATCTAATAGTTATAAGGGGGGTTCATTGTGACATTTCCATATATACATGTACTGTGCACCAGTTGCCCTTCCACTTTTTCCTATGTGCAGTCAAAGAAAGAAGGCCCTCATCAGAAGCCAGCACTTTAGACTTCTCAGCCTCCAAAACTGTGAGACATTCTGCCTTTTACAAACAATAAGTCTCTCTCTCTCTCTCTCTCTCTCTCTCTCTCTCTCTGCAATAGCTGAGAAGACTTAATTTTAGTACTTGAGGAAGGGTGGTGGTAGAAATGAAGACAGAAAAAAGAGGAAAGAATTCTTGAAATGCTTTAGAAGTATGGACAAGACTAATGATAGACTGTGTGCAGGCAAATTCAGGAAAGGGTGGGATCAAGGATGATTTGGGTTTGTGCAACTACTATTTAATAAGATGATAGTTGTGTGTAGAGTAGATATAAAGAGACAAGAGTAGAGGCAGAGGGGTCAACCAGAGAGTTGGAATTGAGGACAGCAGAACTTAAGTTTGTTTGTTTGGGTTTTTTTGTTTTTGTGGAGAGGAGGCAGATGTTGCTATGAAAAGGGACAGTTCTCTTTGAGTCATGTTGGGTTCTACAGGCTCATTCAGCATTGAAGTAGTCAGGTAAGCAAGTATCCCCAAGGCCTGGAATTCAAGGGAAATGCCTGGGCTGGACATACAAACTTGAAATCATTGATAAATGGATGGGTCATAAATGCACTGAGGATGAGGTATTTCATCTAGGAAAACTAAACAGAGAAAAGATGGCAGAGAAGCCCAGGCCACTGTAACCCTGCGAAGAAAATCCAGATGTAGAAGGAAAGCCAAAGAGGAGAGAGATTACAAGAGCCTGAAGACAAGAAGAAAGATGAAGGACTGGGGGTGTAGTTCAGTGGTAGGGCACTTGCCCAGCATGTTTGAGATCCTGAGTCCAAACCCCAGCACTGGGGCAGGGGGCAAAGTAAGGTATAGGTAATTGCATCACAAGCTATTGAAAGATTGTATACAAAGACAGTTGCGAACACCCATTGAACCATTGGGTTTGGCAAGATGTGGACCTTGAGAAATGTCCTTTCCTTCAAGTCCTAGGAATTTGAAGGACTAGGGAGGAGGTAGAGTCCAAAAGTGTGAACTTGTCTTTACATCTTTTTTTTCAGTACTGGGGCTTGAACTCAGGGCCTTCATCTGAGTCACTCCACCAGCTCAATTTTTGTGAAGGGTTTTTCAGATAGTCTTGCAGATTATTTGCTCAGGCTGGCTTCGAACTGTAATCCTTCTGACCTCTGCCTCCTGAATAGCTGGGATTACAGGCATGAGCCGGCAGTTCCCAGCTTGTCTTTACTTCTTTTAGGGATATTTGCTGTTGGAGAGAAATTGGGGGATAGCTGAAGGGAGAGATGGAGTCAAATAAGGAATTTTAAATTTGAGGGTTGGACTATGGTTTTCATGACCTGCACACAGAGCAACAGCCTTTTGCAGTGTTTGTTTTCTTGTCTTGCCTTTATAAATGTCTATGGGAATCAAATGGAAAACATGTGCTATTTTTCTCTTTCTTTTTAAATTGCTTTTGTTTAAAATGTCATTGCCTTAACTACTGTAAGTATAGCCTGTTTTGTGCTTAAGATACTGAATGGAAAACTGCATGTATAGCGGGACTGTTTTGGAAATACTTGATCAAATGTCAATTTGTCTGTAATGGCATTAAAAGCAAATAACAAAAAGCTGTGAAAATGGCCTTGGAGCATTATATTCAGTTACTTGAAGAGTTCCTAGCTTTTAAATACAGTTCATGTTAAAATAACTTTTATTAATTTTGAAAAGACAATGTCTGTTAGAAAATAGACTTTCTTTTGTGGTCATTGTGAGGGATCATTTTTCCTTAGTTTCACATTTTTCCTTTGTTCTAAAACTTAACTGACATTTAGCTTTGACAATCATAGTGTATTTTATTTTCCTGAGGGGAGGGATAACTTATAATGCTATTTAGTTTTGTACTATTGGTATCTTGGTGAACTGTGTACTAAACTGCAATAAATTATATGAACCAAGAAAAAACATTGGAGTTGAAGTTGAGGCTGGGGTGTGTGTGGCTCAGTGGTAGAGCAAGTGCTTAGCATGTACAAGGCCCCGCGTTTAATCTTAGCATAGTAGAGTACACTTGTAATGCCAGGAGACTGAGGCAGGGATTTGCAAATTCAAGCCCAGCCTGGACTATGTACAGACCTTGTCTCAAAAAGAGGGAAGATAAGAGGAGAGATGGCTTGCCTCAGGAATCCTAGAGAATGGGAGTCTTATATGTGTAAAGTGCTTTGTGCACATAAACAATTTTTGGATGCCCTAGCGTTTGAACTCAGGATGTCATGCTTGTTGGACTGGTGCTCTTGACACTCCTGCAGACCTTTTTTTTTTTTTTTTTTTTGTGATGGTTTGTTTTGAAATACAGTCTCAGGAACTATTTGCCTGGAACTGGCTTTGAACTGTGATCCTCCTGATCTCTGCCTCCTGAGTAGCTAGAATAACAGGTGTGAGCCACTGCACATGGCTCGTAAACATTTTTTAAAAACTGGCAAAGTGGGAAAAGATGATTACTCATAGAAAGAGGCTGATGAGAAGGACACCAGCTTAGGAAAGATAATAAATAAATATGATTTAGACATATTAAGTGAAATATTTAAGCAAAGATTAACTCACTGGCTCAGTAATAGTAAGTACAAGGGATTTTGAGCTTCAGTATAATAATGATGCTTAAGAAAAATGCCATATTTTACAAAGAAACAATTAGATCATGGACACTATGTAAGTTATACTATTTCAAATTAACAAGGATTTACCTTGCCAAGATTCTTGGCACTTTTATAGTAACTTAAATTGCATTGGGAAAAGGCATAATAGTAATTGAAAAGCAACTAATTATAAGCAATTATAAGCCAAATTATGTTTATACCACAATTAGTGTTTGAGGTGGTTTAGTAGGCAGATTCTTCATTTCAGTAAGCAGCCATCAAATAACTGAATAGCTTGTAAAACACATAAATACTCCTTTTATCTTTATTCCAAGTATAACAACCCCATCTTTTTTTATTATATAATAATAAAACAAGCAACATTTATTATCTTTTGTCCCAATTCCCATTTCAGCTGGATGCTTTTTAAAAACATGGTAAAAATACTGTATGTTATGTCACAACACAGTTTCTTTCAACAGGTTTCATGGACATATGTGAATCCCTATTCTTGTAAGACAAGAACTACCCTACAGGGAGGGTATCTACACCGGAAACTCCAACTATGCCTGGAAAAGTGGATTTTTTCTTGCTGATATGACCTTATTTCACTTTGAGGAAAGCTTTTCTCTATGAATAATAGGGAAGGGTTATTTTGTCTTGTGACAATGGCGGATTTTTTTTTTTTTTTTTTGTGGCACTGGGGCTTGAACTCAGGGCCCACATCTTGAGCCACTCCACCAGCCCTTTTTTGTGAAGGGTTTTCTGGAGTTAGGGTCTCTCGAAGTATTTGCCTGCGTTGGTTTAGGAGAGTGATCCTCCTGATCTCTGCCTCCTGAGTAGCTAGGATTACAGGCTGAGCCACCAGTGCCTGGCAACAATGGCAGTTTTTATTTTTATGTCCGACTGTTTTTTCCCTCCATTATTAACCAAGTCATAACTTTGTTACAGCTTTTTTGTCAACTCAGATTAAACTGTCTAGGATTTGACTTCCATCTTATACTTTATGTTCATCTGTGAAATGTGAGATTAAATTATCACTAGTGATAGCTCTTGGATTCCTGTTGCATTAATTAATTTCCATGTAAATTCTTAAATGTGTGAGATGATAGCACTGATCTTGGATGGGGTATGGGAGCACAGTTTAAAAAATCCCAAAGAAAAATATTATCAAATAACCTCGGGTTATATTTAACAAATTTCGTTTCTAGAAATAATTCTGCAGATTAAATTCCCACCAGTTGACCTAATGGAGCACAGGTTGCCAATGTTTTAGGGCGGCTGCTCCATTGCCAGCTCTGAAGCTTCCGCCAGGCACATGGTGGGCGGTGGGTAGAGCCGGAGCCCTCCAAAGCTGGGCGCCACGTTGCTTTTCCCTTTTGAAATAGGGAGACAACGCTTCTGGCTATTGTGTAAACGGGTCGAGAACTGCATTCATTCGCACATCAGATAAAGCGTGAGCAGAATTAAAAGCGCCTTCCAATTCGACCCCAGGCAACGCGTACGTCACCGACAAACATTGAGTTTTATTGCCGGACTGCGTTCCCCTCGAGGGAAACACACTTCAAAGAATGGCCAAGTACCTCAGCAGTCGCGAGGAAGTGCATGGGATGAAAACCACCACGCCAACCCAGCACTGGCCCCCGCCCCCGCCGAACCCCAACAGCACCCCTAGGGACGCACCCTTGCTCTCTGCTAACCAGTTCCTTTATGCAGCACTGAATAGCCTGTCCCTACTCCGTTCTCGCTCTCCCCACCCACTCGGCATTTAACCCTAGGTTCCTAGTCCCCAGCCGGACAACACAGGGCAGCCTCCCGCTCAGTGGACAGCGATAACTCCATCTGCAGCCCAGCGGGTAGTTCCCCTGCGCTCCCCTGGGCCATCCGCCAGCCAGTCGACACTCTGCAACGAGTGACTGACGTGGCCTTGCCCTATGAGCTGTGGGGGCGGGATGATTGCGCCACTTCCTGGCCTGTCGGTGCTGACGAGGTATATAAGGTCGGAGCTCACGCAGCGCTCTCGCTTACACAGTATGGCCGGCGACATTAGCTAGCGCTCGCTCTACTCTCTCTAACGGGAAAGCAGCGGAGTACAAGAGACTGAACTGTATCTGCCTCTATTTCCAACAGACTCACGTTCAACTTTCGCTCACAAAAAAAGCCGGGAAAATTTTATTAATCCTTTTTTTTTAAAAAAAGATAATATAAAATTATAGCAAAAAAAAAAAAAAGGAACCTGAACTTTAGTAACACAGCTGGAACAATCCGCAGCGGCGGCGGCAGCGGCGGGAGAAGAGATTTAATTTAGTTGATTTTCTGTGGTTGTTGGTTGTTCGCTAGTCTCACGGTGATGGAAGCTGCACATTTTTTCGAAGGGACCGAGAAGCTGCTGGAGGTTTGGTTCTCTCGGCAGCAACCCGACGCAAACCAAGGATCTGGGGATCTCCGCACTATCCCAAGGTGGGTACCCCAGGCTCAGGCAGACAGGTCCGGGCCTGAGGGTCGTCCCCGCCTGCAAGGCACGGGACTCGGGCAGGGGCTGGGGCCCCACATCCTCCAGGTGGGGCCAGATCCCAGGGTGGGAGTCGGCTTCGGCGGCCGCAGAAGGCTCGGGGTCCTGGGGGGCGGGAGCCGCCTTATGCCCCCGCCGTTGCCTGGCGGGCACTGCCCTGGGGGAGGGGAGGAGGCCGGCGCGGCCGCGTGCTCAGGTAATGTCCTCGGCGGGGTGGCGGGCGGCGCCGTGCGACTGGGCTGGGCCGCCCGTGCCTCCCGATGCTGCCTTGGTGGTTGGCGGTCGGGGCCCTGAAAAGGGGCGCCGGGGTGGACTGGTTCCGTCCGTCCGGCAGGTGTGGCTGGGCGGTTTAGCCGGGCGTGCCCGCCTCGGGAAGGGCGGAGCAGCGGGCCGGGATCGGAGTGGGAGTCTTTTCTTGCCATGAGCGGACAGGCGGGGGCCTCCGGGCGGCGGCGGCGGCGGCGGAGGGGCCGCGAGCAGGCCTCCCGCCGCGGTTTGGGCGGGAGCGGCGGTGTCGCAGTGACTGGGCCCCACCACCGCCCTAACGCGCTCTGCACCATGGCGTTCCCGAGCGGTAGGCGGGCGGCACGATCCCCGGGGCGGACCCGCCGGGGGTTGCTCCTCGGGCTCTTGACCTTGGGTTGTGTAACCTGTTACCCTGCCGATGGGGTCTGGGAGAGCGCGGCCGAGTTGAAGGAAGGATTGCGGGCATTTACGGATGGAGGCCCGTGCACCAGCGCGCAATGCCTTAATGCCTTAAGCAGAAGCACCTGGGGCCCCCTGGCCGGCGGGCACTCCCGCGGGGGAGCCTTTTAGGGTCTTGCTGTAGAAATGAAAGCGCACCGAGGATGCCTGGGCTCTGTTCCCGTGGCGGTCACGCGCGGAGCCATCCTCTGCCGCCTTCCTAGGCCCTCCGCGGGGCTCCCCCCGGCCCCTCGGCGCACCAGTGCGGCGAGAGTGGCCCGCTTCATTGAGAGGCGGCAACCAATGAGCTTCTGGGCCCCTGCGAGAGCCCGGCCCAGGCTGTGGGCCAATGGGCGGCTTAGGAATGTTGGCTGCCTGCTGCCGACCGCTGACAAAAAGCAACTGGAGGAGAGAATCCAGGCGGCCACGTGCGGCCAGCACTTTAAGGCGCGTTGGGAAATGCATTTCCTTTTAGTGTGTTGAGCGCATCCACTGCAGAGAAAAAAACGGTGTCCTAGGCTTCACTTTTCAAGCTTAATGTGACAACCAAAATGTCTATAGCATACCCCTTACTGTGAGCCTAGCTCAGCTCTAAGCCCTTTACCTATGTATTATAGGAAGCACTTAACTTAGCTCATGATCACCATGGGGAGAGTTCGTATTTCCTCCTTTCCGCAGACTGGAAAACTTGTGATCGGGATTATTACCTAGAAAATCTTTGTAAGGAAGAACTGAGTAAGGACAGCTCTAGGAAAAAATAACAAAAAGTTAGGTTGTAGTTGTATTTGAAACCTTAGTTTGTAATAGGAAAGGGAAAAGGTTTTTTTTCTCCCCAACTTAGGCAAAAATGCCAGAATTTAAACTTGGACTTCTGGCTGGTGGTGTTTCCTTAGAAAAGAAGGGGGGCGGGGGGGGGGAGGAAAGGCAGCCTGCTTTTTTAAAATGTTTAAGAGCAACTTTTACTTTGTACTTGGTATCATTTGAAATGTTTACTGCTTAAGCGTGGCTCTAAAAGATGGCAAAAGTTAGACCTTGAAGGACTGGACTCTGTTGTAGACTTGGTGGTTTAGTGCCATAGTTTGTAGACACAGCTGCTTTATATAGAGCAAGTTAACCTGTCTACAATCTCCAAAATACTGGAATTAACTAAAAAGTACATTCTGTGGGAACATTGTTCAGTGACCAGTCAAGGATGCACTGGTTAGGCTATTTACTGTGAGGTTAAAAATATCTGAAAAACAGTAAGTGCTAGATAAATCAGAAAATCAATGGCTTAACAAGGGTTTAATTTGCAGGAGTCTGGGCTATGAAGAGGTAGGGTGCAGGCCCCAGAGACCTTATATTGGTCTTTTTCTTTTTTGTTGTTGTGGTTGTTGTACAGGGGATTGAACTCTATACGGGTCTTACAGAAGAACAGTCCATAATGAAACATTTAAGTGCATTGTCTCTGAAATAACAAGATTTCAATTTATTTTATTTTTTTAAAATGTGTAAACGGAGCCTGGCGCTGGTGGAGGATCTCGGTGGGCTGGCCCTATCTTGAAAAAACCCATCACCAAAAATGGGCTCCTGGAGTGGCTGGAGGTGTAGGTCCTGAGTTCAAGCCCAGTACCACCAAAAAAAAAAGTGTGAAGTGGGAATTTATTGAGACAGGAAAAAGTGGGAGAGAAGAGTTCCTAGAGTTGGGGGGCGGCTCTTGGGTTTGAACTCAGGGTCTTCACACAGTCGCTCTTACACATAAGCCACTTTGCTAACCCTAAGATTTGAATTTAAACAGCATTTAATAGCTGTGTGAGCCAGTAGCCTTATAGCATTTTTGCTGAATCTATTGTGAAGTGTTAACCTTTGTCTTTGATTCTTTGTTCTTTTTGTTTGTTTTTGCAGTGTTGTTTGCCACTCATTACCCTGATCTCTGCCTCCTAGGATTCTCTAGTAGCTAGGATTACAGATGTGAGCCACTGGGTGCCCAGCTGATTCTTTGTTCTTAAGGACAAAATCTGTCTCTTTTTCCTAAAAAGAATTAGAATCAAGGCTATAGAAAAAAGCATTAGATTCCAGTCTCAAGGCTACTTTTTAAAGATGTCCTAGCAATGTGATGTACATAAGTTGGTTATATTCAGAGAGGAAATGTGGTCATTGTAGAGTTTTAGATTGTTTCAGTACATTCACCCCCCTACAAAATAATCTTAGCTTTAATGGTGAAATGTTGAAAATCAAAGCGTTCCTCACGTTGGGTCCTCAGTATCCATTAACATGTGGATAGACTTAAAAGGTTGTGGTTAAGAAATGAACAGACTGGATTTTTTAAAAAAGGTAAATCTGTTTTGAAGCATATTAAACATAAGGATGCAGGAAGGATTAAGAAAGTGAGAAGGCGCAAATATCCAAAGAGGGTATTATAACAGATGCCAGACACTAAAAAAGGTAAGGCTATTAGGAGAAGTTCATAGAGAAATACTTTTCCTAAACTGATGCAAGAAGAACCTAAAGTTGAAGTGTGCCTGCCTAGCAACTATGAGGCTCTGAGTTCAAACTCCAGTACCACCAAAAAGAAAAAAGAAAACCTAAAGTTGAAGTAGTCATTAATCATCTCACAAAGAAAACCCTATACCCAGATGATTTCACTGGAGTGTTCTAACATTCAAGGAAGAAATTATTATAAACTTGGCAGACATGGTGGCATGCTGGCCTGGACTACATAGCAAGACCCTACTTCAAAAAAAAATTATTAAACTTTTACATACTCCTAGATAATTTTTGGTTAGCATAATTTTCTATCAAAGCTTGACAATGTAAAAGACTAGGACTATCCTAATTCTGCTGACAGTTGTAAAAATGTACAGCCAAATTGAACCCAGGACCTTGCATATGCTAAGGACTCTTCTACCATTAAGCTACACCCAAGTCCTCACAACTTCTTAAAAAGTTAAACACCTGTCTTGATCCAGTCAATCAGTTTGTTTTTACCAAAGAAAACAATGAATATCTCCATACAGACCCACAGTGAAATTTTCTAGCAGCTGTGTAATGGCTCCCAAACTGAAAACAAATCTCTGAAGAGGCAAGTGGATAACAAATTATGTGTCCATACAGTAGAATACTATCCAGTAATAAAGAGAAATGAACCTGTCTTGATTTTTGCAAGGACATAAAGTGATATAAACAGTAATATGCTAAGTGAAGGAAGCCAGATTTCATTTCTATGACACTATAGACAGTACAAACTGATAGGACAGATTATAAAAGGGTTGTGAGGGACTTCTATGGGGTGTGTTGCATCTTTTAGGTAGATAAATAGATAGAAATGTTCCTTCAAGTCTATTTTCCTACTTTTTGATTGGGGTTGGCTTTTTGGAGATGGGGGGTCTCGTGTAGCCCAGGCTGGCCTGGAACTTCTGCTTCAGTATCCCAAGTTAGTTCATGCTCTTACAACGTATCTTTTTCAGTACTAGGGTTTGAACTCAGGGTTTTCCACTTGGTAGCAGGCACTGTACCTCTTCAGCTACATCTCCAGGGTCACCTTTTCATGGCAACTGTAAGAAAGTCCAATTTATTAATTTCTCTTTAATGGATAACTATTCTTATATTCTATTTAAGACATTGCCCATCCCAAGGTTTAGAAGCTGTTTTTTTTTTCCCCTGAAGGTTATTGTTTTACCTTTCAATCTGTAACCCATCTGGAATTGATATTCGTATGTGGTATGAGGGAATAGAAAGCCCTTTATGCAAAATTGGCCCGTCTTTCCAAGCTTTAATGCCAAGTCAAGCTGGAAACTACTTCCTGAATTTTCACCTTTTCAACTAAATTTCACTCTCTCAGAAATTCATCTTGAGTGTGATCTTAATACATTAGCATAATACTGAGGATTATTTTTGCTAATTTCTCAAGTGAGGAGCATCTGTAGACTTTGTTTTCTTTTTTATTGTAGTCTCTTAAAGGAAAGTCTTGACTAGTAAAGAACATAATTTAAGGAGCTAGCCGAATGGCTTGAATGGTAAGAGTACCTAGCAAGTGCAAGGCCCTGAGAAGAGCAGCAATCTAGGTATATTAGCATGAGTAAGGGAATGGATGACCTGGATTTCTAGAACTCACTTCACATAGTATTTGAAGTATTTAAAATAGTGATCCCAAAAGTTCAGTCCAGGGCCTGGCCATGGAGTGGGAGAGGGTGAGAACTGTCCAGACATCTCTACTTCTGATCCTTTCTGTCCATAGAAGGGGTATCCATCCTAGAACTTCCCTGTCCCCACGTGCAGAGGACTG